GATACGACAGCTGGCAGAGGGGGTTGGGGACTGAACCAAGGTCTGTCTTTTCGACTTGAGCACGTAGTTTGAGGGGCTGCACTCTCCCCATTTTATACAAGGGTCCACTATGGGGACATGAGGACCTCCAATGGCTTGAGAAAGCGAACAGAAGACTTCCCTCCGCAAACCTTTCACTGGCCCCTCCAATGCAGCTCCCTCTTTTCTCACGCCTTAACTCTCCAGCATACACTGTCCAGCACAGCCGTGGGCAAACTACGGCCCGCAGGCCGGATCCGTTTGAAATGAATAAAACTATTGAAAAAAAGACCGTGCCCTTTTATGTAATGATGTTTACTTTGAATTTATATTAGTTCACACAAACACTCCATCCATGCTTTTGTTCCGGCCCTCCGGTCCAGTTTAAGAACCCATTGTGGCCCTTAAGTCAAAAAGTTTGCCCACCCCTGGTCCAGCACCAGGTGGCCTTGCTCCACTTCCCGAGAGTCACAATTTAAGCCGTGAGCAGAACTAGAGCTGGTGCGAGGGAGGCTGCCCTGGGGCCAGGCCCGAGAAAGCTCCTGGTCTGCTCGGCACTGCTTTCTTCCTGACTTCACTCCTGCCGGGCTGAAGGGAGGCTTCCAGGCATCACCACCTGCGGCCCCAGGCTCCTGAGGCAGCAAGTGGGAACTTGGGACTCCTGTTCTGCCTGGGGTTCTCTCTCGCCTCCTTCATGCCCACTGGCGGCAGCGTCCTGAGACATGCTCCCAGGAGGCGCAGATGATGGGGAGGAGGGTCCTGGGACCCACAGACCGTCACTCTGCTCAGGAGCCTTCTCCTGCCACTGGATCGGCTTGTTGTGACACCTGGGCCCTGAGCTGGCCCTGCTGCCCTGGAAGGTGTGCACACAGGAGGAGGAGGGACATGTTTAAGCTAAGTGGGGAGTGCCTGGGGTGCTCCTACCGTGACCTCCGCCGGGTGGGTCCCCATGGAGCTTCACACTGGGGGTGTGAGGACTGAAAACTATGGGCAACGTTGGACTCTTCCACCAAATGTTTAAAATACACTTCATTTTTACCGGCTGCTTTAAAACAACCGACTCAGTCTTGCCGCGCTGTGGGTCGGAATGCTACAGTGTGAGTGTGAATGACTAGGTTCATTCATCCAACAACAACACACTTACTGTGAGGCTACCATGTGGAGGGGGCGGTGACAAAATTCCTGGCCCCAGGGAAGACCAGGGGAGAATACAAACTCGTTCATTTGCCCATTCATTAGGGACTGGGGACGCTGAGATAAATGAGACACAGCCTCTAAGCTGTCACCACCCAGCAGGCTGTGCACAATCGTGTAGTATATTGAGCCCCCCCGCCCCCGGGGGGGGGCGGGGGGTCTGAGAAGGTTAGAGAGGAGGCAGTGCCTGGGCAGGTGAACAGGAGGGGGCAGGTGGAGGGCATTCCAGCCCAGAAAACGCTGTGCAGCTACACAGAGGAATGACCAGCCGGCACCAGGAGAGCTCAGGGTGTCTGCATTGTCCCGTGGGAGGGGGGATGCAGTGAGAAGAGACACTAGAGAGGAAGTGTCCTGTGCTGACTCCTCTGCTTCTGGGCCAATTCAGCCTTCTCCCCTGTCTTCCCTGAGGTTCTAAGGGTGGGATCTCCTGGGGCTGAGCCCCTCCATCCGCCCCTCACATCTCTGAGTTCTGAGACTGAGATGCCCCCCAGAATCTGCGATTCTAGGTTGGGGGCACCAGGTGTCATAGAAGAGGCAACGGAACTCTGGGCCTCCAGAAAGGAGAGAGGCAACGGCCCAACGGAGGGATCAGGAAGAGCCTAGATGCAAAGAAGTTGCTGCAAACAGTTTGGGATCCCAGGTTCTGTCGGCCTCCTCTCTGCCGCCGGGCTCTGCTGCCGAGTCCCCTTCACTCTCGGTTCCCTCAAGGCCAGCCTAGCAGTGGCAGGAATGGAGGGTTCAGAGCCTGGGCCCTGGGTTGTATTATAGAGAGTCCCAGCCACCGAGGAAAGAGGCTCGGAAATGTTAGAGCGTTCTCCTTTCCCAAGCAGCTGTCCCCAGGAGAGCAGATGGCAGCTGTGACTGGAGAGTGACAGCAGCCTCTGTCCCCTGGCCAAGGTTTAATGCAGGTTTCAGCCAGGCCAGGAAGTCAAAGCTTGCTCTTCACATGTCACAGCTGGAAACATCTGGATATCGAGGTCAACATCTGCCAGGTTCCCAAGATCCGGCTCATGGCCCAAGTCCTTGGTCCCCTTCAATCTTTGGTAAACAAACAGAGAAATCTCTCTCTCTCTCTCTCTCTCTCTCTCTCTCTCTGTCTCCCTCGCTCCCTCCCTCTCCCTCTCTCATACACACACCTGTCTCACAACAAAAACTGAAAATGGGAGCAGCAGATGGTGACTTTAAAAATAGCACGACTCAAGGAGCACTGACAAATTTGCCTCTGTACTCCCTTCCCTTCGGCACCTCCATTCCTCTTTCTCCGTTTCACTCCTGCCTTAGCTGAGAGTGGTCACCTGGCTCAACCCCTTCAATGAACACCATGAGGAAAATGTGGCCCAGAAAGGTTAGGGTGCTTGTTGAATAGCTCATCTATTTAGTTTGTCCACCAGAAAGTTCTCTGGCTGAAGGGTCATGGGGACAGTGGACTCTTAGGATCCATGTAAGGGGGTAAAGATGCCTATATTCCTTCGAATACAAAAAGTGGTGCTCAGAGAACTATTTTCAATAGGCCAGAATAACCCTACGATAATTAAACATTGTCCTGATCTCTGAAAATACCAGCCGCCTCCGTAGTTTTATGCAGCTGAAGGTAGTTTTTAAAATTATCTTCTTGTTCACTAGGAAAAACTTCGCGCACACACAAAATAAGCAACAGCCATGTACCTGCCGTCCTAACTTAGTAAACTTGGTTATTATTACCATTTTATTTCAGGGCACCGGTGTTCATGATTGCCTCCCTTTAAGATGGTCTTATAGTTATATATGTTGGATCTGTATCAACAGGAGAACAACTTAGACGTATACAAGGTAGTTTCTGTGGTGGTCACAAGCTTTCAAAAATTGAGTGTCAATGAGAGAAATCTTAGAATTCTCGGGGGTGAGAACAGTGCAAGTCGCCCTTCATGTGTATTTTCTCAGCTAAGTCCCTGCATCATGTCACTAGTCAGGGCTTTTTGTCACAGAGCTGCTAAATGCAAAGGCAATAACGTTCTCACCTTTATTCAGACTCATTAGACTGGAAAACAACAGATCAGAAAGGAGACAGAGTCCACGGGGCAGGAGAGCAGAGAGTCGGGTGGCCTTTCACCCTCCACGAGTGACTGTGGGGCTCTAGTCCGTTACACCCAAGCCTGGCAAGCAGAAAAGGGGGTGCAGGGTCTTGGCAGTGGCCCCCACACATCTGCTCCGCCTGCCGTGGAGCTCTGAGTGAGTTGCCTCCTGGCCTCACGCATCCACCTATCCAATTACACTTTCCTGTCCTGGGCATCATGAGTGGCCGCCTGGAGTGGCAGGTGGCAGTCATGACTAACAGAGAAGGCGCTCCACAGTAGAGATTTGCATGGGGGATGTTTAGGCTCCGTTCTTTGTCTTCATTTCCTATCTTTCTTCTTTGTGAGCTTATGCCTATCCCCTTCCATCTCCTTTTTTGTATTTTTGTCTCCTATGTCTCCATGTGTCTCTTGGCTCGGCTTCCCATCTTTTGTCTCTGT